GTTTTATTTCATCTGCTTTACGGAAATAACTAATTCTGGCAGAGCAGAATCCAGTTGTTTGTCCTGGTGGAGGGCAGTTTCACTAACCTAGCTTAGCTCCCTTCCTCAGCAGCATGACCACGACTGAGGTATTGCGGCAGCCAATTGCTCTGTCCAGTGGCCTCATGCCACTGTGGTCCACGTGCTCAATCATTGCTCCTTTCTCCACCAAATACTGCACCTGGGAGAAGGAATGAGACATGCTTTGTAACATGGCTTTTGGTAGGAAAGGCAGACCAATAAAATATTTAAGGTACCTTGTAATCTTTGAAACACACTGAGCATATGCTGCAGAGTACAGCACAACCATCTCAAACCCACTGATGGCACCACAGCACGGGCAGGCTGGAGGGGAGCAGCAGTTCTTTCCCATAACCATTACTTACCTAAGTGTCACCAGCAGTGATCTTGCAAGGGAAGAGGCACCAACAGTCCTGCCCATGGATAGTTCCCACGACCCACGGCCATAGGCCTGCTCAAGGACCTCTTCACCGGCACTGTGCCTGTCCCAGCCTGGCCAGTGGCTGAGCACAGACCTACTGATGGGACTGGTCTGGCCAGGGAAATGGGAGCTGGCACCACTCCAGGACAATGTCCTACAGCAAATGCAGGGACAGGAAGGAACCTGGACACCCCTCATTCTCCAGCGGTCTCCAGTACCCAGTGTCATGGGCAGAAACACACGTTGTCTAAAAACTACCAAAGCCACGAAGGAACCTGAGGGCTTATTTACAATTTCAAGTTAATTCAGACAAAGGCAAAGGCTGAATGGGACAATGTGCTACAGTGAGTTATGTGCCACAGCAGCACCTGAACCACAGCTTGTCTATGCGAGCTGGAGAAACACAGATGTGAGTGTGAGAGGCTGCATGTGCTGTTCTGTCTAGTTCCTTGCTGACCTCTTGAATCTGTCCACAGTGCATGTAGACCTGAGTGTGCCCTTCTTCTTACATCTCTTCTTGGGATATTCCTGTACAAAGGCACCAACTGACCAGGACCCTGAGAAGGGACCTCTGTGGGTTTGCAATTTGTAATTCTGTGCTTCTACTTCATCTAGAAAATGCTCTCCTGAGCAAGCAATGCTTTCACACTGCAGTCGAGAGCAGTGTAACCATCTTGGCTACCTCCCCAAATTTCCTATTTTGGTAGGCAGTATTTTTTCTAAATTCTAAATTTTTGTAACTTTACCTTGTATTTTCTGTTTTGTTATACTTACAATATCAGCATCCCCATAAAAAGCTGCCAAGTCTAGGGGTGTTCGTCCGTTTTTGTCTGTCTGATCTGTTGCTGCACCTTTCTCTACTAAATACCGAACCACTTCCTTGTGGCCTTTCAGACATGCCCAGCTCAGAGCTGTCAGTCCTTCTTTGTCCAGAGATGAAACAGTTGCACCTGTAAAATGAAAATGAACTTTGTTAGGAAGATTCTCTGTTTAAATGGAAAAATTGCTTAACTCATCTGGATGCAATCCCTGGTGCAGCTGTAATCCATTATTTATTTTCTACCTTCAGAAAGGAGAAATTCCACCGTGCTCAGATGTCCTTCACAAGAAGCCACCATCAGTGGTGTCCGGCCTTGCTTATCATTTAAATTCACATCAGCCCCATGCTCCACTAGAAGTTTAGCAATCTGAAACAGAAAATACCAATTTAAAATGCATTCCTTGCACCAGTGGGGGTTTATATTGGATATTAGGAGAATTTCTTCTCAGCAAGCGCTGTCCAGCCCTGGTACAGCGGCAGGGGTGTAATTCCTATCTGCCACATCCCTGAAGGGATTTAGAAGGTGTAACACTTGAGGACATGGGTTACTGGTGGCCTCGGTAGTACTGGGCAACAACTGGACTTTATGGTCTTGGAGGGCTTGTCCAATCTTACAAGCTCTATGGTTTTATGTAATCGGCAGATTAAGATTTCAGACATCATATCATGAACTTTTTAAAAGAGGACTAAGCTGGCATTTATGGCAACCACTGAGAAATTCAATGTAGCTCAAACCCTGACTGCAGTTCCAAGGCCTTCTCCCTACAGGAAAGGCCAGCATGAGAAAGGTTTTTGAATCCAAGGTTCTCTCTCTGCACAGCAGCAGTATAACAGATCTAAAATCAGCTCTGATCTTGGTCTAGGAAATAAAATATTTTAACACGCGTTATTTTTCAGGTATATTATACCTAAGACTGTTGTGAGGCCAATGTGCTTTTTAAGTTATTTCAAATGATACAAAGGGTTTGAAAGTGAAGTTTCTGAGCACATCCCACTGAAGCAGATGCTTCATCTATTAGAAAATTTGACACTAATTATTTTCAAAACTGGAGATGGGAGGAATCAGGGACCACCTCCCAAAAGATGCCCAAAGCTGTGCCAGACCTGCCAGTGGCCCTGCCGTACGGCACAGAGGAGCGGGGGAACACCTCTCCTGCTGGCTCTGCTCACGGCTGCTCCGTGCCCGAGGAGTAACTTGCACACTTCCAGCTTCCCTCTTCCTGCAGCAGCTGTCAGGGCTAGAGAAAGCATTTGCATCAACATCAGCTCTTGGTTTATTTGGCCTTTGGACACATACACAAATATGTGAGTGTTACTGAATCCCCATTCTTTCAGCTTTTCACTGTGACACTACTTATTGAAAGCTGAAAAGAACAACAACAAAAAATACTTTCCCCATCATGATTTTTCCCCCTCTTCTATTCTGGTCATATTGTTTTAAACAGAATTTTAAATTTCAATTTTTGTTGTTTGTGTTGAAGCCTAACCAGCCATTCAAACAGCATTTAGAAAATGAGTTTATGTGTGACGTGTGCAAGAATCAGCAAAGGACTTGCCCCTCCAGTTTCTAAAGGCTAATAACTTACATTTTCTACTAAGAAGTGGGTAAACTTGTGAATTTCGTGTTACTAGCATTTAGCATTTTCAAACATGATCAAGTAGAATTTTTTTCAAATTGCAATGAATGCTGAAAATAAAGGAAATTACCAACACTGCAGGAAGAAGTAAATTTTTCTTTTTTAGCACTATCTTACCCATTCCCTCTGCAGTCAATGAAACTGCACTGTGTCACAGTTATAACAACTGTTGAGAGCTGAACAACTGGAAAGTAACTGTTACAGATATCAATATTACAAGCAAAAGAGTTGAGCCTTGTTCAAAAGTCCCCCTTCTAGGGAGTTCACTTCCTCAGTGAGTGAAGATTCCCAATGCAGTATGCAAGGATTTCAATAAAGAACACTGACAGGAAAATATTGAAGAGCAAAATTCATTTAGAAACAGGTGTATGGCTTTTAGAATTCACTGGTTTTGCAACAAGGGTTTCGTTCACGTGTAGGAATGAAGTGCATTTGCTTCTCTAGGATGTGAGAAGCCACTGACCATGATCCCAGTGCTGCTCCCCCAGCCTCGGCTGTTTCCATGGAATGGAGATACCACTCACAAGACACACCAGGGAACTGCAGTGCAGCCATTACAGTCTGCCTTAAAAATTACATTTGCCCATTACCAGATGTCCAAAGGCTGGTCATTTCTTCCGCTGCCTAATTAGAACAAATGAGGCTATGGCCCAGCATTTCCTGAAAACTAATGATATTTAAACAAACGTTCTCAGACAGAGAATCCCATAACATTCCACACTAAAAACTTAAGCACTCTATTTCCACAATTTTCTATTTAGTTAGAAAGTCAGTAATTTACAGTAATTTTAATATAAAATAGTTCTTCAGTACTTGAGATTAATAGATTCAGTAAGTTAAAACTATACTTATAAACTGCATTTTATTATTAAAACTGGTATTTTCCATTATTTTTCTTGTAGAAAATTAAATTTAAAAGGTAAGATTAAAAACTCTTTATTCTTACATTAGCAACTCTAATTAGGAAACACATGAGAAGGGAAATACCTGTTTCTCCCCACAAGGCATCAGTGTCATTGATGTCCATGTCATGGTCTTTTTCAATTGTCAAGATATAATGAACCACCTGCCAAAAACAGTGAGCAGAGATGTGCTGAGCCAGAAGCGCATCAGTTGTCACTTGTATGATACAGCAAGGGAGAAAAGATCTAAAACAATTGAGAGTGCTTCTCTCTCAATGTATATAATCAATAGAAAAGAAAATCAGTATTGCTCAAAACAAATTCAGTAGGATTTTAGAACTACTTGAAGGCAAGTGAATGTTATTGAGAACAGTTTTAAAAAAGCCCAGTGCTCTTGTGTGAATTTGTTGTTTGGCATAAATATGATTTAATGAGCTTCCATGTGGCCTATATAGAACAGAATAATCAAAATAAACAATGGCAAAAATAAAGCATCCCAGTTCAGTGAGGAAATTCAGATATGATTTAGAATATCATCTAAAACAAGTGAGCAAAAATGAGAATGTTTGCATACATTTTGTAAAATGGTGATACCTAGATTCTTCCTTCCACACTGGTTGTATCTTACCTGTTTTTCTAAATTTCTTCCCAGAATGGTCTAAGCGTATGTTGATAAATGGCAATTTTTAAAGCCGAAGTAAGCTTTTAATTAAGTTTTGCTGTGTTTCTAGTATATTAAGGAAATCTGTGTTTTGAAACCACATGTTAAAAGATTATTAAAACTTTTTCTAATGACTAATTTAAAATAGATTCTCTAATTTTAAACAGATTTTCTAATAGTGCACATGGTCACTGAGTCTGCAGTCAACAGGTGAGGGAGGAGAACCACACCAACACAGTTTGGGATGCTACAGGAAAAAACAAAGGCAGGAAAGGAGAAAGGATCTGGGTGTTTTCAGGCTGTCTGAAAACTGTTGTACACCATGTATGGAAAATCCTAGAATTCAAAATGATAGGACATAATTTATTAAAATTCATGAAACTTACAGATCTTCTTTCTAGCTAAGAATACAGCTTCTTAATGTCTTCAAAATAGAGAAAGATGGATATTTTTCAGGTATGTATTTATGATTAATGTGATCTCTTTTGTTGATATTCAGGAGTTGACTGCTTTCATTTAATCAGTGGACAGCAAACAAGAACTTTCACGAGAATGAAGGAACTATCCATTCATCCAAGTTAACCACAAGCTCAGAATCCTCAAGTTTATATTCTAAGACACTGATGGCTTATATACTACATAATATAATAACCATATAATAATTATAATTAACTGCACATAGACATTTCTGTATTTGGTTCATCTAATCAACTTCAAAGATCAGACTCTTTATAGCAATTTAAAAATAGATTTAAAAGAAGTAAGTATTCAAACAGCTTTATTGAAGATGAGATTTTGTTTCCACATTGGTACATCACTTAGTCCATAACTAAGACCCCTAGCCTAGCTGATCTTTATTCAAGTATCTTTGCTTACCCATTACTTTTCTATCAAAGTTATAGTTTATTTTCCCAATGAACAGAAGACATACTTGTATTTCCTGAATATCTAAAGCATTTTAAGTACTTCATATGTATTTCAGTGTTCCTTCCCCAATTTCTATCTAAAGTGACACTGAGCTGAAGTCTGTAAGTTGACATGTACATCAAGCTAAAAACTGAAGCCTGTGCAATTGCATGCCATGAAAATTTGGAAGAAAAAATTCAACCTGAAGTAGAAACATACTTGGGTGGATCAGTGATACAGAAAATCATCACCACCACTTGAGGTTTAGGACTACTTTCAAGAATAGAGGGGAGAAGGTAGACAGAAAATTAAACAAATCCTAAAGTAAACTGTATTATCAGATACTCAGCTAGAGCATTTAAACCAGCTTCTAATACATGCTATGATAAATATCAGAAGTGTCAACAATTCTTTCCTAGCCTCTTTTTAAAATAGCTGCAACCACAGTTGTACAATTCTGATGATTTCAAACAGATCTGGAAGTACCTGAATCCCCAACCCACCTGGCAGTGCCCCATGCTGGCAGCTGCTGTGAGAGCTTGTTGCAGTGCCTGGCGCTTCCTCAGTGAATCCTGTTCTTGGGAGGGAGTCACCCAGACCAGGCCGAGCAAGAACTCGAGGATTCCGCAATGCCCTCTCAGTGCACTATGGACCAAAGCACACTGGCCCTTCTTGTCTGCAAGGTCAGCCTGGAGGGGGATAAAGGGAACGTCTGAGGTTAAAAGATGTGTGAAAGGCTGTGGAGAGGAGTGTCGTTCCGATTGGGAACGGCGATAAAGAACGACACGAACCCTCAAGGGGGTCACAACACGAGAATTCCTAGTTTATTGCTTCAGCCCTGTCTTATAGACAGATACGTGGAAAGGTACAGAAAGGAAATTCTTATTGGTTAGCAAAGTGCTACATCACCATCATTGGTCAGGGGCACTCTACCCCCCTGACCCTCTCTTGCAAGAGGAAACAAGAAGACAGATAAACAACACCTGGCAGTTGTTTTCTGTCTCTGAGGATTGTTTTGAAATCCTCCTTTGAATTCCCAGGCTAGCTTCTCAGGCAGGACTGAGAGGCCATGGGCCTGCATTTTCTGCAGCTCCCTGCAGCCTGTTCCAAAGCTAGCATCCATAGAGGAGATGCTTCAAGTCACTGTGAGAGAGCAGCTCGCACTCCTGACTTCCAGGACAATGAGGAGCTTCTGGGGAATTACAAGCCCAATAGCCTTATCAGAGCAGCTGGGCAGGTGATGGAAAAACTAATCCCAGAGAGCACTGCCCAGCACAGGAAGGACAAGGTGAGCGGGACTAGTCAGCATGGGCTTGCCAAGGGGAGATCGTGTTTAGCCTGCTGGACAGCCAGCGGCTCTGAGGGGATCAGAGGGTGGGTGAGGAGAGCTGGGGATGCCCTTGACCTCAACTTTAGAGGGCTCCAGCACTATCTCAGTAAATATCACTGGACAAGCTGATGATAACAGGTCATGAAAGTGCACAGTGAGGGGCACCCAAAACCAGCTGAATGGCTCTGCCAAAGGGTTGGGACCAGTGGTGCATGCAAAATGCTTCACAGAAGTCTGGACTCACCCCTCAACCCTATGTCTGATAATTATACACTGAAGTAATCAATAACAGCTTTTTTAGGCCTTTGTATGACTCTTCTGGCTGCAGGTTTGGCAATCTTTGTGCACCAGCTTACCTTTGCACCTTTTCTGCACAGCAGTGACACAATGTTCATGTGACCTGCAGCAGCTGCGTAACTAAGGGCTGTCATCCCGTTCTCTGAAGTTCCATCAACAGCAGCTCCAAACTCAAGTAAAAGAGTGACCACTTCTTCGTGTCCAAGGTGTGACTGAACACACAGCACTGGAGCATTATTCAGTACTTCAGTCCTGTAATTCACATTTGCTCCTGCCAAAATTAGCAGCCGACTCACCTAAAATTTAATTTAAACACAACAATGTTTTCATCATATTTGTCTGAATTTGACATCTTGATCAGGTACTCATTTGTTACTCCCTAATTTTGATGCAGATTTTATCGGCAGACACCAACTTTAACACATATACAGCAATATACCAGTTTAAAATCTTCTCCTAGTAAATACATTATTGTATTACTGAGCACTGCACTCCTAAGAGAAGACTTTTCTCTCCTCTGAAACTCACTACTCTCATCCCAACTGCATGTGTGACTTGCTGCTACTCTGCAACTACCTCTGTTAAGAGATAATCAGGTTGCATAAAAAGAAAATCTCAAATGGCTAGAGCATGCATGTGTGTGTTTATGTACACACAGATTTCCAGTCAAAAACCCTAGCAGTTGGCTCGAACTCCAACTGATTGACTTAGATTTCACTATCCATCATCTAGGGATTCAAATAGTAGTGCAAAGTTGTGGTGTTTTAAATCCTTTCTTCTCACAGTATTTCCCCCTTTCACAATTGACACTTTTGCACAGAAGCAAAGAGTGCTGAGCTCTGTTCAGCAAGGCCACGTGGGACATCTAACCCCCAAAAGTGCACCCACACACTCACCTGTACTACAGAGCACAGCTACAGAAATAAAAAGGAAAAAAAAAAGGAAAAGCCCTTCTTTCCATCAATACTATCAAGGAAAACTTGGTTTGAACTTTAGCAACAGCTTACCAAAGTACACAAAGGCCTGTCACAAAAGAATTCAGATCCAGGTGCTTTTCTGCTGACGAGTTACACTGGCTTCAGCATTCCCCTGCCCAGTGCCAGCAGCAGTGGCAGACAAAGCGCTGCCTGTACAGCCCTGCTGATGTTCTTACCTTCACGTTGGGTGTGTAGATGTTTCTTAGAGAAGCCAGGGCTGTTGACAGTCCATCAGTACTATAACCAATCCACAAGGCTTGGAGATGACTGGAAGAAATTCCGGTCCTTTTACTGAGACCCTAACAGAAATGATATAACAGGAAATCTCTCTATAGAATTAGAAATCCTATTTTAATCTACAACTCAGTACAAAAAGCAATAAAATCTGGATTGACAGCACTACAAAATATTTTGCATAAGCTCCGAATAAATTATTCAAGCAAGTCAGAGGAGTATCTCTATGATGCATTCATACAGATAGATCATAAAGCCTACAAAGCTGTAAGCTTTACCTTGAAAATATGAGCTTTAAGTATATGATGGCCAAGTTCCATAGTTTGTTGGCGGTTCAACTTTCCCTCCTGTCGAGAAAACATGAAAGCCAGTAGAGCATGTCCATTCCTAATAGAAAGGATTAGGAGAGAACCACTTTTATAACTGCATTTCAGTAAATATTCTAACACATCTTTATGCCTGTTATAACAGTTCAACTTTGTCAAGACTACTGAAACATACCATCACACCTACACATAATTATTTCTATAATGAAACAATGCAAAATGAAAACCAGCAAATTTTGAAGATAAAAAACTCCTGGTATTATTTCTGTTCTGTCCCCTCACAGGGGGCCTGTGTCAGCGCCCCAGGTTTACATACTGCTCCCTTCTGCATTCTCAGAGCCAGGAACTGCAGGTATCTCACAGAAGCCAATCCTTTCAGAAGCACAAGATCTGAATACTTGCGAAATTTGAGAGAAAATGTGTATTTAGTAATTCTACACCTACATTAGTGGTGGTAAATGTTCTAGGAAACAGTGAGAGTGGCACAACTCTGAGAAAACACGGTGATCATATACTGTTTGTTAATCAGACTATACACTGGAACTCGGCAATTAGCCATATGCTAGCTGGACTCTTCAGCTGAGGAGGAAGTTGTGGGAAGAGACCTCACACCCCATCTTCAGACATTTCTGAACAGAACTTTCCACAATCAGAAGCTTTACCTGGGCCCAGGCAACCCCCACTGCTGCTGGGGCAAGCACTGGGAGTTCCTGGCGTGGTGGGACTGGGCTCCACATGGCTGCAACCCCCCAGGTCCACCTACAGAACTGGTTCTGTTACAGCCACCTGAAAGCTCAGTCGAGTCTTGGGCTGGTAGTAATTTTAAATGTAAGCATTATTTATTCTTTTGTAAAACCCAAAAGCTGTAAACCCCAAGGAATGTGGAAAAAACCGTAACGGGCAGCCGACCGTGAGAACAGCCACCGTCTCCAACTCAACCTACTCTGTCTCTCCAAGTAACAAAGTGAGCAGGAACAAACTGAACCAATGCCAGTCCAGGATATAATTACAGCACAAAATGTCTCAATATTTTTATGTTTAAAAAAGCCCAAATGATCTGTTCTTTCTATTCCTGCACTCTACACTACATAGACAAGGTGCTGCTGCATGGGACTCTCAAAAATTTTGCTGTGTTAGTAACAATACTAACTAATACAGTACTCTCATTTCTCCATGAAAGCAGCAAAGTCAGATGCAAACTTCTGTAGAGCCAATTATGCATTGTCAACTTTGAATCTAAATCTATCTATTTGCCTATACCTCTAAATATATAGAAGTTTTTATTTTGGAAAAAAATTAGGTGTTCTTGTATTTTAACATCACCCTTTCCTCTCTGCTGCAATCAAATATACAAAACCTAATTTCAGTTATTTGAACATGAATTACTGCAGTTTTAATTTACCTTGGCTCACATAAGAAGTCAGTGTTTTCACCTTCTGCTCTCCAGACAAGCCATTCCCTGAAGGAAGGATGGCAGAACATGCGTGTTTTGTCACGTCTTCTGATCAGAAAACATGAAAGGGCTTCCATCCTCTGGCTGAAGTCTTCCCACTGTTGTTCACTGTTTATTTGTCCTGCATTAATAGCCTGGAAAATCTGGTCATCTGTCATGGGATGCAGGGATGCCAATGCCACATTCAAGATGGGCTGAGCTCGCTCAAAAGCAGAGTTTGTCATGAACTTCATATTGCACTGCAGTAAGTACAGCTCTGACAGAGACACAGGAACAACCTTGTAGCTTGCACTTTTGATTACTAAATGACCTTTTTGGAAAAGATCCAGAGTGAGTTTCAAATACAGATAAGATCCCAGGCTTCTCATCATCAGGTGGTTACTCACTTTCCCAATTGTAGCTGCATCAGCTTTTCCATTTAAAGACATGTTGTTTATAATTTCCTGACTGTTATTAATTCTGTACTGAATATAAGCATTCAAATCATCGTGAATTCCTTTGTTGTCTGGAAAACTGTCCAGGGATATTGCGATAAACGGTAGTGAACTTATCACTTCCTGTGAGGGAGAAAGGAGGAAAAAAAGGAAGAAAACCCAAAGACATTACAGTATTCTAGCACTGAGAAGTCAATGATGCATCTCTGCTACATTTCCCTTCTGTAGTGATACCAGATTAGAAAGGAATTCAGCACCCCTGAGATGGTTTTGCAAATATTGCCTCCTCATAAGAGACAGAACAGTATTTCTACATTTTATCATTTTTCATAGGAAAGTCTCAAATATTTCACTGATCAAACTCAACAACTGAAGGGGATGAGAAATCACCACTTCAAAGTTAAGGAAATGGAAAACAGTCACCAGAATTGGACCCTAAGGGCAG